GCGGCACAGCAGGAAGTTCGATCTGTTCCTGGGTGGCGCGTCGAAGCTTCGGTCTTGCTCCGAGGCGCTCGGAGCGCGTAACCGATCACGGTGGGGGCTTCGTAAGTTTCTTCTCGCCTTTTACCAGATATCTCCCCCACTAAGCGGCCGATCCCTCAACTTTTCACTGTATCGCTTTGCCTTTTTCTCCAAGCCACGTTAAGACCCAAGTTCGGTTCCCCCAAAGTTTCTCCCCCCCCACCCCACTTCTTTGTACTTTAGCAATTCTGCTTCCGTTGTTCTTTCCATTTTAAGCCCTGCCCGGGACTTCTTAGCTTTTGGTGGGCAATCTCTTCACGCGGCAAAAAGTTTACCTAGCTGCCTTTTGAAAGCTGCCTTTGTAACGCCTAACCGTGCCGTTGTAAACAAGCTTTCTTTCTGGTCCGCCTCCCCTAATCTGGCTCCCGATTTGAGGCGTTGGGCGAAGAGATGCCGTCCCGTGTTATCCTGGCCGGTTTTGGGATTGCTGGCCAGGGCCTTTGGGGTCACAACGTCACAAGGGTTGTGGATTTCCAAGCGTCCTGTCATTCATAGATATATTTTTTTCCTCACAAAGGCGGAAGGAGGAAAAAGTACTCGGAGGCTCAAAGGGGAAAGAGAGGCGGCCGGGTGGCTGCTTTGTCTAAAACCAGTTATACCTGGAGCAAAGAAATCGCCGGTTCGTTTCCTCTTATAAGTAACACACAAACACATTTGGGTGTCTCGTAGCCTCCGGGTGTTTACGACCCAATTGCGGAAGGGCCGAGGACCGGAGAAAACTTCCTCTTCCGGAAGCCTTGAACCCAAACCGTGGAAGTTTGTTTGTTTTTTAATTGGGAAACTGCACCTCCTAGAAATTCCTAAGGGCGAGCATTTGAGAAACCAGTCCGCTCTTTCTCCCTAGACTGAAATAGAAACCCTGAAGGCTGTAAAGCTATTCTTCCAGTTTCCCTTCATGAAAAGTTTCCATCTTTGTAGCGTCAAGAAAGCTGGCAATTACCCTACTGAAGCCTTTTCACAATCATCCAGGAGATACTATTTCCTGAAAGTAACCGAACTACATCTAATTAAGTCAAGGTTTAGGGTTAGTGTGATGTGTGTATCCAGCCATACATTTTGTATACTGTTTATTATGTTATATGAGTGCAGTCAATTGTGGGTGGTTTTTGAGAAGCCATAGCTAAAACAAATATGGTTCTGTTGAAATCTGTGGGAATTATGTTTTTAATCATATGCATAGGTTTTAACTAAAAGAGCTAGGTTCACATCTCTGTATTCATGTACATTAATTTAGAAGAAAACTCATTTAAAGTGATGGGGATCCATTTTAGTTACATTCATGTGAAGAGCAGGGTAAAATATGCTCTGATCGCTTTCTGAATATAATGTACAAGAGTAGCTTTCTCCCCCTCTCTCTTTGAATTAAAAAAAACATTAGCCTGCTCCTCAAGATGAAAACACTATGCCTTTCCTTCTAAAATCTATAATCAACTGACTTTTTAAATGTATGTATGCTGCCTTCCAGTCAGTATTGATTTCTAGCAACTGTCTGGACAAATCCCTGCAGTTTTCACGGCAAGATTTTGGAAGCCCTCCCCCCTCTCCCCAAATCAGGGTGATCATATTTTGGGCGCTTGGTGACAAGCCCACATTTATGGCCGTTTGCAACATCCCTTGGTCATGTGATCATGATTTATGACTTTTTAGCCAGAAGCTGGCATTTACTTGGTTTCCAACCCAAAAAAATCACAGTAAATAATGGATTTGCTTAACAACCAACACATTCACTTAACACTTAACACGTTGCAAAAGTAACAAAATCAAGTGCAACTGTGCAGTGACCCACTTAATGAGCAGCGTGACCTATGCTTATGTCCATAATTCCAGGCTCAGTTACAGTTGTAAATCAAGGACTACCTGTAGAGTCTGGCAACTTTAGAAGCTGGGTCAGGGAACAGAGTTGTGTCTGTACAACCAAAAGCCACAGGTGGCATGGGCAAAGAAAAGATTGCAGCAGATTGTGTACATCAGATGATATGCAAACCACACCAGCTTATTCAACAATCATGATGAACATACTGACATCCTGAATTGTTATTTGAAAAAAGTCAATTTCTCTCTCCAAACCTGGAATTAGAAAATTATAGGGCTGAAAGGTACTGATAGAGCTCACATATCATTCTCAGCCATAATCAAGGTTGCTTATTTCAGCTTAGTATCTTATGTGCTTGTTCAGCCACCATTTTTAAGCAAACTATGGTAAGCTTTGGGTGATTTTGAATCCCGCCCAATTCAATATCTCGCCTCTGAAAAATGGTCATTGAAAGTATCTGTTTAAACAGTTAAACCACTTAAGCATTTGTCATAATAATGTCGATGGTGAAAACTCCATAAAGGAGGAGTTTAAAATTTCCGTGAGATTTTTATTCTATCACTTCAGCTGCTACACTGATGAGTAAGGCATGTATGAGTGTAAAAACCTGCTTGTATTCTGATGCTGGGATTAAATTCTATCAAAACATGTCAGAATTACTTTCAGCAATGAACAAAAGAGAAGGGCTGTAGCTTGCTCTCCTAATTATAATTAGTTTTATGCAAAATTAAAGAATTTCAGCTAAGTATGATCATCTTAGATATTTTTAAAAAGAAATTCATTGCACACATATATGCATACTAGAAAATAACATCTTTTTAAACAAGATTTCTATTTCATAATTCCTGCAAAGAAAAAGATGGAATATAGTATATGGATGTAAAATAAGCTTCAAACTAATTAATACAATTGTTACTCCAATTTCCATGGGGTACTAGGTAGCCTTTATAATTGTCCCCTTGTATCCCCACAACTATCTTAGGAATGTCTTCTTTTGAACCTGGCTTTAAAATGGCAGACTTGGCAGTCACAATTGCAAAAAATGATGGACAGAATGAAGACTAACTCTGATTTCATTCTCATGCATTTCGATGTCCTTATTACCCTCCACTCTCTCAATTAACAATTTCATCCTTCAGTCATACAATTTGATGATTGTTGAGCTTATGTGGCAGTTACATGTTAGGTTTTAGAAGAATAACACAATTCAGGGGGTTTGAGCTAAGAGATTCTGACTTGCTCAGAATCAACTGTGAATTTCATGACTAAATAGAGAATCACAATCAAGCTCCATGTCCAACAGTTGTAGACTATTTATGTGTATATTGGCTAGATTGTTCTTGACAGTGATGTTTCCGTTTGTTTGCTTTTTCTACACCTGCCATTCTTCTCCCCATATTTTTTTTGCATTGGTGGTTTTTTCCCCCTTTGTCAGGTTTTGCATCTCAATGAGCTACTCTGATTTGCAGATATTGTCTTTCCCCTGATTCAATGAACTGGTGAATCCAGTGAAATATTTCTCCCTATTTTGTATACTTCTCTTTGTTGGTGAGCTTTGGATAACAACATTTGTATTTTTATGTTGTTGACTTGGAACAAAAAAAAGCTACTCCTAAGTAGCTTAGGAGTACAGATTCTGACTGGATAAATCTTCCATTTCTTTAAAGCAGAGGTAGTCAACCTTTTTATACCTACCGCCCACATTTGTATCTCTGTTAGTAGTAAAATTTTCTAATCGCCCATCGGTTCCACAGTAATGGTGATTTTATGAAAACATAATGAAAATGTTTTTAAATAATGCTATGACATTTTTTTTTAAAGTCAATTGAATTTTTAAAAAGGAAAGTGATTCAGTATCAGACAAAACCCTTACCGCTCACCATGAAAGCTGGAACACCCACTAGTGGGTGGTAGGGACCAGGTTGACTACCACTGCTTTANTTGCAAAAGAAGACTGAGAGAAAAGTTGAGAGTAGGATATTAATATTACCTGCAAGAAGGTGCAGACTCAATCCCTGTTAAAAGGGAGTGCAGGTCAAGGATCAGTGAGCTTTTTTTTTTTTTTAAGATCATTATAGGGAATTTCCTGACAGTAAGCTATGGAGGAATCTAGGACAGTAGTAAATTCCCACACTGGAGTACAGCAGGAATAATTTAATGGTCTCCTGAAATGACCAGTGGGTTGAACTTAGATGTTCGAGAAGGGCCCTTCCAATGCAATGCTCAGTCATGTGACATTGTTCTGTTTCTACATTATCTCATTTTATGCAACAATCAAATGCCCTAGTTGGAGGGAGCAGGTGAATGCACATATGCATTTCGTGTGCATATCTTGATATGCACACCGAGATAGATTTTAAAAGATTTTATGACAGTTAAAAATATATATAGATGTGTTTTATAGCATAGAGATGTAAGTTAGGTACAAGCATTCTGAGATATTCCAGTAGGTTGTAAATTGGATCTTAGAAACTTGACTTCAAGGGAAGCTGTTTCCCAAATACTCACTCGAAAGAGCAGCTGAAATCTAGATAAGCCAGTATTTAAAGTAAGAACTCTGCCTGACACTTCCAGCATTTGAGAAGCAGCAAATGATTAAGGCAAGGTTCTTGGGGGAAAGTTGGCAAACTCTCTACGTACTCAGAAAGAATCCTTCAGTTTAGTCACTGACATTATCTCTCCTTGTGAACCCCAAGTTGGATTAAGTATACTCCTAAAGAAATAAGCTTTGATTCACGATGACATTTAGCCAGAAATGAGTAACTGTTTAAGTTGCATTGTGTTGCTTATTGTTTAGTGGAATATCTGTTTTAGCTGGTTTAAATAATTTGATTTAATGAACAGATTTTGCATTGTTTTGCAGTATCATTAAACAGCAATAAAATGCTATTTAAAAATTTATACAATCTTTTTATGGTTTCTTTTGCATATCTATGAAAAAAGGGGTTTTTTTAGAACGTGTATACTGTTTTATCCATGTGATGGTGGAATGTTGCATTTTTAAATTCAAATTGGGATTTATTTGTGAAACAAAACCCTAATGTATTCTACATTTTTTCACACCCACCTAAATATTTTAATTCAAAGCAATACTTTCTTTTATAGTCAACACACAAAGTCAAGTTCCAGTCCATGAAGACAATGACATGAGAAGAAATGGTACCTTGTTGAACTCAGATTTTGATCAGCTCCAAGAACAGCTGAAATTGGCAATGCAAAGGGAAAAGCTTTTGAAGGTAGGATACTTTCTTTAAGATACACTATATTGCCAAAAGTATTCACTCACCCATCCACATAATCAGACTCAGTTGTGAGCGAATACTTTTGGCAATATAGTGTATATGGTGGCTTTAAAAGTTTGAAAGAGAAAAAGATAACTTATAAGGCAGTGGTGGGTTATGACTGGTACACCCCGGTATGGGCGTACCAGTGTCTGCCAGGAGCACTGGGTACCATTCTGGTACAGTGCTCCAGAGGGCCCAGTTGCCCGCCCACACTTCTTACCGATATTTGAGCTCTTCAGCATTTCCGCACACACGCACAGAGCATATGGCGCCTGCACGACACTTTGCCACGCAGCTGGAGCATCGCAGGCGCTAAGTACGCATGGGCACGTATGTGCGCGTGTTCATGTGCGCTGGGCCCCATTGCACTGTACCAGTTGAAACGGGATCCGGAACACACCACTGTTATAAGAGTATATTATTGTTAGGAGAAGCCCATTTAATGGGAATGAATTTGAAGACATCATCACTCCTGCTGAACCTCAGCGGAGATATTTCAACCAGCGGTATATTTTTGATCCACTGCAGCATGTTGTTTCTTACCAAAGCTTGTCAAAATGTAGGTAAGCTACATGGACAAGCCTGTTTGGAATCATTTGACACTCTTCAACTAGCCACAATTAAGAGTCACCACAATATAACTTCTAATTGAAAATGGAAAGCTTTAATTCTCTCCTTTGTGACCTTATTGGTCACAGTAAACTAGTGGTAAGTAATTTTTTGGTGTTCCCGAATTATTATTCCCAGCAGCCTTAGCCAGTATGTCAAATGGTGATGGATGTTAAGAATTGTAGTTAAGCAGATAGTTGGAGGCCTGCAGGTTTTCTCCAGTATTATTTACACTTCTTTTGCTTTTTGTCTTCCTAGAACCGTAATGGCGAACCTATGGCACACGTGCCACAGGTGACACACGGAGCCATTTCTGAGGGCATGCAAGGTGTTGCTCTGTCAGCTTCAGCACACATGTGCACTGGCCAGCTGATTTTCGGCCTTCGGCCAGAGGGTGAAAAAACGCCCAATGCACAAACCGGAAGTTTGGGAACTGACTGACTTCCGGTTTGTGCTTTGGCCTGTTTTTTGCCCTCCCCAGGCTCCTAGAAAGCCTCTGGAGCCTGGGGAGGGCGAAAAACGGACCTACCAGGATCACCGGAAGTCAGAAAATAGGCCGTTTCCGGCCTCCAGGGGGGCAGCCGTTTTCGCCCTCCCCAAGTTCCAAGAAAGCTGTGGACACATGCGTGGGACAGCAGGGGGGGGGTGTCACATGTGCATGGGGCGGGGGGCATTAAATTATGGGGGTGGGCACGCAAGCATGTGCGAAAGCGTGCATGCTTTTGGCACCCGAGGCTAAAAGAGTTCGCCATCACTGTCCTAGAGGTTATTCATGTTTATGAAACATAGAAGGTTCCCCATGTCTGTTTGCGATAAGGAATAGATAGGCTCTTACCTCAATGAAATAGTATGTGGTTTACATGTAATGCTACTTGGGATTTTGGCCAGTTTCTACCATCCCTAGCTGACATAAGAGAATTAGTAGATAATAGGAAAAACTCAGTCTGGAATCTTGGAGAGCTCAAAAAGATTAGTACTTGGCTAAATGAATCTTCTGATGTGGATTAAGGCAGCTTTTCTCAATTCCTAATATCAAACTCTTTTATGAAAGCTTATTTTTTTTAGCTTGCAGATAATGAGCTAGGGACTTGTATTTCTGTCAACTAAGCATATTTTAATCATATGTGTTAATTTGTTAATAAAGAATACCTATTTTGTCAAATTAGTGACACGTGATAATTATGTTGGAGAAATCTAATTTCAGAATCTCTCTCATTCTTTCTTTTCTCCTTTCTCTTTAAGCAAGCTTTGCAATTTCTGCTTCAGAAATTTGGAATTGGAAACAAAAAGAAAAATTACATTCCTCTGGTAACAATATAGTACCTATATTTACAACTGCAAATATGGATATAAGCAATCCTCATTGCCCTTACAAAAATAGCCTCAGTATATTTGCTTATTTGTGTTTAAGCAATGCTTGCATTGTGACAACATGCAGATGTCCAACTAATATTGTGTTCACAAAGTAACCATAATCAAACCTCCTTTCCTCTGCTTCAATTCTCTAACTGTGGTAACACTAACCTGCTTTAGAAGAGGGTCACACAAATTGGAAAAATAGAAGATGGCAAGCGCTTTGAAATTCAAATGTTATATGAAGTACAAATATCATTATCGTTTTTTAAACGATGTACCGTTATTTTCAGTATACATCAAAGGCAGAGGGGGTTCGTCATATTTGAAAGTCAGGAGGGGAAAGGTATTTCCTGTTTTATCTAAACACAAGCCAGAAGAAAAAGAACATCTCCATAAAACAGGCAGCAACCTGCTTATTTTTTAAAAAATTGCACGAGGAGGACACTCTTTGGAGGGTTGAGATCACGTCCAGATCAGAAAAAGAATAGGTCTATTGGGAAACGTAGAGGAAGAGCAGGATAGAAGTCAGAAAAAAATAAGCATTTTCTCTGCTATACACCTAAACCATAAATTGTGAAAGCAGCTGCCAAGGTCTTAGTCCACGCATCAGATGGTAATAGTGAGGATTCCTATTAAATGTGCAAGTGGTTTTGTTGGTGCGGCTATATAATTTGAGTTGGGCTCTTCATACAAGTGAAATTTAAGGCTACAAGCCAATAATAGGAAAGTAATTATTCCTATTTTTACTTCTTCTTCTTCATTGTTACATTCATGCATGATTCTCCCGTGTTCTCTTGAATAAGTGCGATGCTGTTGTTTGTTTACATAAAACATTAAATCTCCTTCAAATCACACTCTTCTCATGGTAACTCCAGGGAGGTATAGCTGTGTAAGCAACACTACAGAAGTAATTGTCATTGGAGGATTCAAGGTTTTTGGGGGGAGGGAGGGGCATAGGGTTGTTTATTTAAGTTCCCAATAGAGCCTACAGCTGGGAATTTCCTGGTGTCTCCTCAACTATTTGCAAGGGTCAATGAAGTCCTTTTTCAATCTCATGTAATGAGAAGACTTCGATCTAAAATTTAATATTACAGAAGCAACAAAGGAGAGAGGAAAAAAATCAACTAGGATTATTTTTACTTCTAAGTATTCACCCCACTTCCTGGGCTGTGTCTAAAGGTTTGAAGGAAATAGGAAGATAACATAGCCCAGCACAGATATTCTCTAAAGCAGTTCCAAACTTAAGAAACAGCAAGGAAAGAAGGAAAACTACTGCAAATCTAGAATGATGGAGTTCCAGGAGGCAAGAAACAAGTTAACTGAATAAATTTTAACCTTGTTTTGTGACTTTTATAATTTTTTTAATTCTTCCAGCATTCTTTTCACTTTGAAAATCAAAGATTTACGACCCTCCAGAGGTTCATAAATGAGCTTCAGGAACAAGACTAGAGACAAAATAATATTGGGGTTACAGACTGTCAATCTCTGCTTTAAGCATTTTTAATGTGTTGTTTAGTTGTTTTGCGCTTTAAGATTTATTTTTAGCAATAAAAAGTGGGTTCAAATATTCTCAGTTTCATAAATAGATGTAGTCATTCTAACTTCCTTCGGTTTATCATGTGAAGTTTGGGATTAGAAAGCCCTCATTCCATTGTATTGTTTTCTGTTACATTTTAAACATTTTTTTCTTTTAAAAAAAATCGTATATTCCTTAGAAAGGTCAGCTTGCTTGTTGCTGTTTTTAGAAACCTGTCACTGTCTCAGTACTTTTCACATCTTTCATTTGTTTCTTCTTCTGTTGTTTCTCTCCTATTATTTATTACCATCTTCCTTGGCTCCTCTCTGAGCAAAATGTGGTGCTAATAGCTTTTCCCACCCATCCAGAAATAGAAAAATAGATTTCATCCTTCTAAAACCTTTCTATCAAACACGTCCACAAATTTATTTTATCATTTACATTTACGCAGGCAGCTAATAGCACCAAATGTTGTCTAGGTAGCTTACAAAAAGAAAAGAATGAAATACAGAACCCAGAGAATGACTGAGCAACATTTTTAATAGTGGTTAAAGTACTGGTGGTATCCACCTTATTTTCTTATTTCTTATTTTACTTTATTTATTTATTTATTCAATTTGTTTGCCGCCTATCTCACTGCAAGGCAACTCTGAGCGGCTTGCTATATCAAAATAAAATATTTTTAAGTTTATACAATCACACATAAATAAAATCTTTGAAATTTCAACTGGGGAATTAAAAATGTATTTACATAGGTGAGCTTTCATAACTGCAGCAGTTTCCCCTCTTTTCAGTTTGAGGAAATACTTATCTTCATAATAGCATTTTGCAACCCAATATCTACCCAGAAGTAAATCTTATGGATGAGCCACTAAGACTGCACTTTTCTTCCTTCCCCATTCAAAATGTGAACAAAAACAAATGTATTCTGATTGTTTTGCTTGTCATTAGTTAAACAGATTGACCAGATGGAACCAACTAAGGCTTTAGCTACTCATCATTTTCACCATGTTCGAACTTCTGAGACTATGTTTTCCAGTTTTGACTCTGGACTGCCATTTCTCAAAACACACACATACAGCATATAATATGATTACATTGAATTACTGTTCCTCATAGTAAATTGACAAATGGCATGCATCCATCAGAGCTGGAGATTTTAATCTTCAGGAAAACACAATGTTGTTACCACTGCTGCTGGTGGTGGTGATGGTATAGCTTCGTGTTTTTATTTTATTTTCTTGCTGAGGTTTTCCCCCTTTCGATATAGACTGTCATTATATGCAGAGAATTAATAGATTATATCCTAATGATGCAGGAGAAAAGTAGACCATTTAAAAGTAGACTATTAAGCTTATTTTTGAAGCGTAATATCTTGAGTCTTGCAAAATCCTAAGTGCTAAATAGCTACATTTTAACTGTTCCAGAAATTAAGAGCCTTGAAGACTATTGTCACTTTCTTTAAATATATTTTATCTTGATTCTAGCACATGCTGAAACTAATTAAATATTAGTGAACAGACTATATAAATGGAATAAGACAACATTTCTTGCATTTCTAAGCACTAATATGCATAGTGGTGGTGTGACTCCTTTTATGTATGTGTTCAAAATAAAGCACAATTGTTTTGAATAATTGTCCACAAGGAAATTAACTGCATGTTGAAAGTAAATGAATTATAATTATTTTATCTTAACCTAATGGTACTTACTCAAGTCTGATTTCATATAGGAGCACAAAAGGAGTCCTGATCAGATCAAAGGCCTACCTGGTCCCTTAATCACACGACTTTTGAGGAAAATAGAACTTCCCACTCAGTTGCTAAGCAGGTGCCATTAAAAAGAGCCATACTATCTTGGACCTTGGATGCCATATTTAGCTATCTTAGTAATCACTTTTCACTAGCGTGCTTGATGGGTTTTCCTGTTACTGTCAGCCTTTGTTCAATGGTGAATGTCATACAAATCCCATCTTTCAATTCCACTGGATAATTCCAACGAATGAAGGAGAAACTTATCTATACATTACCTGTTTACATTGTGGCATATTATATATACTTTTATGTTGTACCTCTCTTAACTTACCATTTCTATTTTCTTCATAGAAAAATTGCACCATTTCCTTGATCATTTTAATTGCTCCTTTTCTGCCTCTTTTCCAGCTCCATCACATAATATTTTTTAAAAAAATACAGCTACTAAAACTGTGTGCCATATTCCAAGTGTGGTCACACCATAGATTTGTATAAAGGCATGATGATATTGTCAGTTTTATTTTTCAATCTTTTTCCTAATGATCTCTAACATGGAATTCGCCTTTTCACAGCTTTTTCACAGATTGCTAAGACTTAATTTAGCCTATAACAATCTATTCTATAATGACATTCCTCAGAGCTTGAAAATTAACCAACTGTGCTCTCTCTTTCTCTCTGTGTGTGTATATGTGGTTTTTTTTAAAGGAACAATTGGAAAGTGAGAGTATAAAATTTAAAAAAATTGAAGAAGATAGTAATTTAAAGGAAAAAAATTTTGAATCTATTATCACTGCCAAAGAAGATGAAATAAGGAATCTAAAAAAGCAGCTGAAAGAAAGAAGTGAAGCACAAAATTGCTTACAGGTATCAAGATATGAAAAAGAGGTAAGAAAATTCAGAGATACTGTAGAGTTCTGAAGATATTCAGATACTGCAGGCTTGAAACTAATTTCATAAGCCAAAAACTAAATGCTGTGTACTCTTCTGTAAATAAAGTACTCCAAATACTAGCCTATCTATTAATAATAAGATTGCCATATTTTTCAGAGTATAAGACGCACCTTTTTTCCTCAAAAAAGAGGTTGAAAATCTGGGTGCATCTTATACATCGAATACAACATTTTGTTGCCTCCTGAAGCCCCTCCCCTTCACCAAAATGGCCGTGCCTAGCCTTATGGAGGCTTTCAGACAGCTCCAGGGGGCTGGGGAGGGCAGAAATGATCAAACAATGGGTCGTTCCCCTCCCCCCAGCAGCACTCTATAAGCCTCCATAATGCTATGCATGCATTTTGTTGAGGGAAAAAAAAGCCCGTTTTCACAAAAAATGGGCCATTTTTGCTCTTTGGGGGGCACCGCCCCAGGAGCACTCTGCAAGTCCCCCCCCCCAAGGCTATTCATGCCTTTTATTTGAAAAAAAGGGGGGCATTTTCGTGAAAAATGGGCCGTTTTGGGGAGGTTTGCAGAGTGCAAAAACTTTTTTCCCCTTTCCGAAAGCTCTTTAGTTAGAGTGATTGATGAGAATTACATTGATCAAGTGCTGTGCCAGCAGAAACAAGTCTTAGGTGCTGCAGGTTGTCCGTGATTTCCTTCTCCAGCACATGGATAAATACACCTGGAAACATCTACCTACCTACCTACTCACTCTCTCTCTCCCTACCTACCTACTGCATTTCTCTCTGTCTCCCTTTCTATCCCTCTATCTACCTANTGAAGCGGTATATAAGTCTACTGCTATATTGCTAAGTCTACTGCTATAACAGCCTGCAAAAGCAATTCTCCAACTCAGTTTATACTTAGCATAATTAAGATGGAGTCACTTTCTTTCTCATGCTATCCCCTCCGCTAGACTCAAGTAATCTCTTCTGCTATAGCCCATAATTACCTCCCTCACGAACCTGCCCCAGCTCTTCACTCATTCAATTCCATGGCCCCGTAAGCACCATGGGGTCTCTAATTGTGAAGTATTTTGCAGTTCTTAGCTATTCTACCAGGGCTTCCCATACACCCCTTCCATTCCAACCTCCTTTTACTTTTTCTTTCTCCCATCACCATGAGATGTCTCAGCTCTCAGCAATGTACTAGCAACAGCTTCTAGCCCCTTTTCTTACTGGGGGATGACAGGCCAAAGCCATACGGTAAGAACAGAGGAGTTGCCGCACCTCCACCCACCTGATCCCTAACTTCCAGGATCTCCCCTTCACCCATCTGGAAAGTCCTATGATGCCTGCAAGCTGATGTTCACCTGAGTGGCCCATCTCACCTGCATACATACATCCACCACTTCCTGCTAACCCATAGCAGCAAAACAGGGAGAGCACTATTGCTTCTGTAAGCATGCACATCCTCAGTCAACAAGGAAATGCATGGGGGCATGTTAAAAAACAATATAGATTGCCTGTTTGTAGCTTTTTTATTTCTTTCTGAAGGGAAGCAGGGATGATTGGACAAGGGGAGATGTTGCCTTTTGGATTGTTTTAGTGGGTTGCCAGAAAGCTTGCTTTATAGAACTTACCAATAGCACTTGGACTCATATATCACTCCACAGTGCTTTACAGCCCTCTCTAAGCAGTCTGCAGAGTCAGCCTATTGCCCCCAACAATCTGGGTCCTCATTTTACCCACCTCAGAAGGATGGAGGGCTGAGTCAACCTTGAGCCGTTCAGAATTGAATTCTTAAGAGTAAGCCAGCCTGAATAAATATTTGCATCTACATGGAACATGCATTTATAATTTATGGAATCCAAATTCATTTAAAAGCATTACCTGTGGTTACTGAATTCATAATAGCTGTGCGTTTCATTTCATACATTACAAGTAAACCTTGACTTAGTAACCATTCAAAGTTCCAGTGGCCCTGAAAAAAAGTGATTTATGACCCTTTTTCACATTTATGACCGTTTCAGCATCCCCACAGTCACGTGGTTTACATTCTGCTGCTTGACAACTGATTCACATTTATGAGGGTTGCAGCATCCCGAGGTCATGCCATCCCCTTTTTACGACCTTCTGACAAACAAAGTCAAAGGGGAAGCCAGATTCACTTAACAACCATGTTACTAACTTAACAACTGCAGTGATCCGTTTTACTACTGTGGCAAGAAAGGTCGTAAAATGGAGCAAAATTCACATAAAACAAGCAAAAGAAATTTTGGGCTCAATTGCGGTCATAAGTCGAGGACTACTTGTACCTGGAGTATCAATGTTAAAAAGAGATCTTCAAATTAAATGTGAGGAGGGGAGCAGCCCTTGTCCTAGGAAAAAAATTTCAAATAGTGTCGAATGGGGTTTCACTACATTGCTCCATTAGTTGCTCTTTTCTCTGGACAAATGTGAAGCAGTAAAAATAATGTACTACAATAACCAATATTTTTCCTTTTCTCCCATAAAGTAATTTAACCAGATCTGCTGCATTCATAATCTCTTCAGTGATGAAATATTGCTGGGAAGTATGGATAAAAATATTGCAGAGCAGCTTAATAAGGCATATGACGCATTTCGACAGGCGTGTATGGAGAGAGATTTTGCTAGAAAAGAACTAAGGCAAAAGGTACGTTATGTTTTTAATATCTAATTGTACAAGTTAAGATTTCCTTTACAATTGCTTCTGGGGAAAAAAGGACAACTCAGTATTCCCACACAACAGAAATATGGTGTAGTTTAAGAATGCTATGTTGATTATCTGCCAAAATCATACACTCACAGGTATGGAGCTGTGCCATGAGAAAGATAGTTTGTTTATGAAATTGAATTTTGTATCCCTCAAGGATAGTTTGCCTTTCTCTTTAACTCTTAGGCAGTTTTGACATGTACCACCAGTTGCCTCCAGGATTGCCTTTGTCAAAGGATGCTGTGCTTGCAAAGAGACAGATAGGCAGGAGCTTGATAGTAGGGAAAGAAGCCTCCCACATTTGCATGAGGAAACAGTGGAGAAACAACATGTGAAATGTTTTTTTTTTTCTTTTGCTGGTAGCTTAGTATTACAGAAGGTAAAGACGAAATGGACTATAAAGTAGTGTTAAATTTAAAAAATAGTCTAGTGCAGTGTTTCTCAACCTATATCAGTCCATGGCGCAATATTGAATATAGAGCAGTAGTTCTGTGGCACACCACAAAATTATTAATCGTATATATGTATTTTTAAATATGTAACACATGGTTTGAAGGAAAGTTCTATGAAATAAAAAATATATATGTGCTGTATTAAATATATGGGATGGATGGATGGATAGATGATAGATAGATAGATAGATAGATAGATAGATAGATAGATAGATAGATAGATAGATAGATAGATAGATAGATAGNAGATAGATAGATAGATAGATAGATAGATAGATAGATAGATAGATATAATAGACAGACAGACATAGCACACCCATATGCTGCAGCACACTAGCTGAAAACCACTGGTCGAGGGACATTATAGGGCAATGAATTCTTAAGAGGGATGAGAGGGATATGCTTTAGCTCTGTGGTTTTGTATGTTTAGAAGGCTCTATATTCAGTCATTGGCATCTTTATGTAAAACCATCAAACAAAACCCAGTAACTCCTAGGAAAGCTGAAGTAAGATCATAAACACAGATGTAGTTTCACTTAGCAATCACGTCACTTAACCACTGAGTTGTCAGTCACAATTGTAGTCACTAAACAAGGATTATCTGTATACTGTCCTTTACTGGATTGGCTGTAAATCAGTCTCATCTATAGTTCTGCAGCTATGCAGGAAGCCTTTGTGCTATTGCTTCTGGATTTTCACTTTTCATTTCAATTGAAACACGGTAGAACTGGGGTTTGTCTTCCTTCTATTTAAGGAGATCTAAGAAGTATTCAAGCAGTGGTCTACCCACTACTTATCAATGTCATTTGACAACTTTTAAATTTATTGCTGGCTGTTTTGATTATTTGTAAATGTTTTCCAGGGGACGTTTTTGCCTAGAGAAGTTTGTTTTACTGAACAGCCAAGTGGTTCTTTTTCTTAGTCTGAATGAAGGGCTACATGGTACAATAAATTTTTTAGCAGATCTCAGCTTAGTGGTCCCACCGATGCTGATGACAAAATCTGCCCCTACACTATATGCTTCTGTGCCTCTGTGATATCCTGATTACCATTTAATACATTAACAAAATAAGTAGATTGTGTGGGGTGGGGGGTGAAATGCCATTTAGATTCTCCCTTTCCTTAATTAGTTCATCTGTTTGAAGTTTTCTCTCCTTAAATTCCCAAGGGCAAAGTATAAGGCAGTTGCTTAAAGTTTGTCAACTTAGGAGTGTCTCCTCTTTAACTTGGGGCTACTTAAAGAAGAGGCTTTTGTTCCGGTGACCCTCCTCCTTTATACTCTATGGTCTCAGGGACTGGTTGGGGCACCTGTCAGTTTATGGCTGATGGTGGATTCTGGTTGGCCACTTGTTTTGCTAGACTCTGCAGATCAAAGCTGTGTCAAATGCATAGAAGCCGGAGTCATCACGGCCAGATGGTACTCAATACAGATGGATATTTGGTTGTCAAGTATATCTTGTAGTTACTAACTTGTTGCTGCCATCTGACTCTAAAAGAATCACTTGTGCACACTGGCTGTCAAAAGCATCTTTTCTTCTGTCTGTTTTAGCTGTCATGATTGTGCTCTGTACAGAAGTGTTGACAAGACATTGCTGTTGTACATTTTCAATTTGGGTCTTAATGACTTTTTCTCTTCCTTCTGCTTCCTGAGGTCATCCAGGCTGCTCAAATATACTGACCTCTTTGCCTTTTAATGGGTTTATGATGCAGCTATTGCTATCTGCTGAGCTCTTACTGTGTTTTGAGATAGTTGCATCCTTTCCATTGCCTGCTCAAAGCTATGGTTTTCAGGAGTGGAAGAATGGGGGGAAATTGAAATTGTGGCACTGCTATTGTTCAACCAAATAACTCATCTGTCTGTGCCGGAAAACTAATCGTTTTCTTGTCCATAATTGTCTTGTCAAGAGGGGGGGGGGGTAAGAATCCAGAATTTCTTTTTAAAATGGCAGTACAGTACAGGATACTTCAGTACAGCCATGAATATGATATTGATACTTTTTGACAAGTCACTGTTTTGCAGCTTTTATCAGATTATTGTGAGATAAATGGTGTGTGTGTGTGTGTGTGTGTGTGTGTGTGTAAACAAAGCCTTATATTCTACCCTGGTTCCTCAGAACAACAATCAAATAAGAATACAATAAATAAACAGACGGGAAACAAGATACATAGGCATTTCTAGCTCCTTGAGTATAAAATCAAGCTACGGTATTTAGAGTGAGGCAGTAAATCTAAGCACTAATTCCATGGCATAGCCATTCTTTGTTCCTGCCTGAGGTAAAACCTATTTATCAACATAAAATGATTGCTTCCAATTACACTATCGTTACAGACAGACAGCTATGAGAAGCAGATACATGAACAGCAGGAAAAAAATGAATTTCTAATGAGCATTGTTGCAAAACTCAAATCACAATTGACTTCTATGGCTGCCAAAGGAGGTAGGTAGTTTTCAGCCTGCTTTTTACCGACTATCTCCCTGTTTGTGTCTCTTCCCATCTTTGCGTGTCTGTGTTTGTGAGTCTGTCTTGTGTGTATGATGTCCCAGGACTCCAGTTCTTTTCACACGATCCTCTTAGTATTGGAAATATCTACATTTAAAACTTTTTTTAAAAAAACCCAGGCAGTCTCTTATAAGCTGAAGAAGGTTCTTGCAAGAGAAGCAAAATGTCTTCAAAGAAAAATCAATAAACTCCAGTTGCGTCTTGAAAAAGCACCTTTGGGATTTCCCGTGCTGGTATTTGATTGTGCTGTACAGTTCAGTATGAGCTACTTTCAAGGCAGATATGTCTCCAAATTGTCCAGTGAAATCAGTAAATTGTTGAAGGCATTGAGGAATCTGATAAGTAAATAATATCTGAAAGGATGACCCAAGGAGTCATAGTGAAATCCCAAAAGTGGAGGAACTGAAGGAAAACTGTGTGAGTGGATCAACAATATTTTTGGCAGTCCATTGTGGACTTTATTTCCACTTCCTCCAGTTGGCACCTTCCATCCAGTCTTGAGAGTATTCAACTTTTCAGCCTGATCACTTGATCACTTTTTTGGATCTTGCCCTTTAAAAATTGCTAATAATATGCTACCGTACATTGGAAAAAAAATGAACTAACTTTCTCTGTGCTATTTTGTAACTAATGGAAAGCATTTTAAAAATGTAAAACTTTAACCGTGGAAGCTAAAGAAAACAGCTAAAGCAATAGGAAATAGAAAACTGATTTCTCTTGCAAAAGAAGACTGAGAGAAAAGTTGAGA